TATATATATATATATATATATATATATATATATGAAGTAATAATTTAGTAATATACTTGCAATGCTGAATGAGACATTCATGGAGAATGTCGAATGAAGATATGAAGACCAAGATGTTGTGGCCTCTGGTATGGTCGCAGTGATAAGGGCACACTAGATTTGCCACAAAAGGACATACATCTTGACAAGTGGAATGTAAACAAGTCAGACGATGTGATAGGGCGCCAGTGGGATAAGAGGGTAAAGGGTAGAAGGATAGGCCAGGACAGAAAGAGGAGTGATAGTGTAACCGTTTTCGGCAGAACGTTTGTCAAGGGAATGACTTCATTTGTCTCTTTGACGAGTTCGTAGCTTGGTGCGAAAAATGGCAAAACTGACTGATGATGCCGACTACGATGCCGGCGAAACGTTTGAGAATGTAGCAAGTCCACTTTCTGATGCTGGGAATCATGACTACTACTACAGCAGACGACTTCGGATTAGGTGCGTTCTACTAAGTCGCCCTGACAACAAGACCAAGTCAACTCATTTCTATAAGTTTAATCAAGTTTAAAAAGGCATTCTTTAGGGGACATTGAAGCTGGCTTACCTCCAAATGGTCGATGCGCGCTTTCATAAATCGTCCGGTGTCCGGATCTTCGGCCAGTTGGCGGGCATCCAGAGCCGCAAGGAGCTTCTCCAAAGCGGGACAGTCAATATGAGTGCGTTTTGCCTCATCTACTCGGGCGGCCTGGTCGACTTTGATCAGCCTGGCCTCGGAACAATCCTCTACGGCGACATTTGAAGTCAGGGCGTGCGAGAAGGGAATACGACTAAGGGTCGGATCACAGGTCTGCGAATCCTGCTTGACGTTCATAGAGGCCAGTTTGTCTGAGTGGGCTGATGTCTCCTGTCGCCTCTTCATTAGTTGCGGCTGTACCTCTTGTCCGAGGCCAGAGGCTGCGAGCCCGTCATTCAACTCACGCAAGCCCTGCTCCAGTAGAACATTGGACTCGGTCACCTGTCCAAGTCGTGCTTCGAGGCTGGCGGATCGGGTGCGTTCACGCTCTAACTCTAGACTCAGCCCGGCCAACTCTTGATTGAGTATTTTGATCTCGACGTCAAGATCATGTGTATAAGGATGAGAGAGAAACATTGGAGAAAATAAATTAATAAATAGAGCACATGCACAGATATGTGAAAAGCAAGCGGGCAAATGTGATATAAACGAATAATAGAGGAAAGTAAGGAGAATAAAAGAAGAAAACCAAATAAGTCATCAAAGAAAGCTGAATATCAAATTGGTAAGATGAAGAAAAAAGAAGATAGGAACGAAGCGATCGAAGGAAAGAAAACTATAAAATTCAAGAAAAGACAGGAATCGTCAAAGCAGAGAAGAGTAGCGGAAGAATATAACAAGTAATGAGTAAAAAAAACCGATAATGTAAAGAATTTCTATTTCGTATGAAAGTGTATAATGAAGAGATTCGTAAGTTGATCTCGCCTGAAGGCAACAGCCGATTCCCATTGTTCCGCAAGTGTGCAAATTGGCGCAGACTACGAGGGATACTCGCTCGTTCCGGATAAACCCTTGTTAAGCTTTCATCCGTCATTTAACATAACAAGCATACTCATAATTGTAAATCATTTATGCAAAAGTCTCAAGCTAACACAAAATCAAGAAGACTATCCGGCTCCATACTCCTAAATAAAAAATGAAATGAATAGATATAGATAGATAGATAGATAATTAAAGGAGAACTAATCAAATCAGCCTATATCAATACATTTTATTTTTTTATTGTGAATAAAGATATCATAGGATAGCTCTGGATTATTTTTTTGACTTAGTGTTAACGTAGGACGTCTGTAAAAGTGAGTTACGGCTCGTATGATGTCCAGCATATGAGGAGCGAAAGCTTAGCAGGGATTCACCCGAAACAAGAGAGGATGTCTCGTAGACTACGTCAACCTGAACGTCTTATTAATCTCAAACGGCTAGAGAATAATGAAGT